ATTTCCAGGATTGTTGATGCTGCTGTTACTTTTTCAAAAGTTATTGGTAATTTGGATTTCTTCCTTTGTAATGTATCTGATCAAGTCTTTTGTCTACTTTTAACAATTGGTTGTCTAACTTCTTATTCGTTTGTAGGGGGCTCTTTATATACTCAGTATATGAGTCCTTGGTGACTTATCCTTCCAGTTGCTGCCCAGTTGACTCTGATTCCTGGTGACCCCTTGTGTGTCAGAGTTGACCTGTGCACCACAGTGTTTCCAATGGCTGACTTTTCAGAAGTAGGCCTTTCTTCTGAGGTGGACTGGAGACTGGGTGGACTCAAAGTTCAACCACTGCATTGTTTGCATCACTCAGGGGCTCCTTTGCTAACTGCATGGATTCAAACACCTTTACTTGAATATTGCACTTGCCTTTTTACTATTCAAATAGTATTTTATCAATTGTTGTTGTTATTTGCTGTCAAGTCGGATCTGACTCATAGCGACCCCTCCTGGGGTTTCCAAGGCAGTATCATTATGGAAGTAGATTGCCCCATCTTCCTTCCGAGGAGTGGTTGGTGGGTTTGAACCACCAGCCTTCTGGTTAGCAGTCAAGTGCCTTAGGCACGACGCTACCAGAGCTCCCATTTTATCAATAGGAGTTCTTAATTTTACTGTAGTACAATTTATCAATTATTTCCTTAATGGTTGGCACTTTTTATAACTTGCTAAAAAGTGTCCCCCTACTCTCTGAGGTTTAGAAGATAAACACACATATTGGATACATCAATTATGTGTATGTGTGTGTATATATATATATATATATAATCAAAATCCACTACCATCAAGTCAATTCTGACTCATTGTGACCCCCATTGGGTTTCCAAAGCTATAAATCTTTACGGAAGCAGACTGCCTCATCTTTCTTCCACAGAGCAGCTGGTGGATTCAAAGCACTGACCTTTTGGTTAGCAGCCAATTGCCTTAACCACTGCACCACTAGAGCCGTATGTGTGTGTGTGTGTGTGTGTGTATTCTTGCTGTTATGTGCCGTCAAGTCAGACCTGACTCATAGCGACCCCTCCTTGGATTTCCTAGGCAGTATCACTACAGAAGTAGATTGCCCAACCTTCGTTCCGAGGAATGCATATATATATGCTCATTATAAATTCTTTATTATTTTGCCTCTCATATTTAGGTCTACAATATATCTAGAATTTGTATATATGTATAAATATCTAAAGTAGATGGCCAATTTCATTTGGATATGGATATGGATCCATTTTAGTACGGATACTCAATTATCATAGCACCATTTATTGAAAAAATCATCCTTTCCCTACTGTTCTGCAGTTCTGCTTTATCATAAATCTCAGTTGATGGGTTTGCTGATAGACTCTATCTCCATGGTCATTTTGTCTACCCTTTCACCTAGGTCACAATGTCTCAATTACTAAACTCTAAAGTTGGTCTTGAATATCCATTTCCAGAAGACAGAGTAAATGTGCTTTTCTCTAGTCCTCCCATTAAGTACAACTAGAAACCCTGGTCATTATATAAAAACAAATATAAGAAGACTTTTAAAGGTGGAGAAAAGAAGGTAGATTCGTTGGGGACTTTGAGACCCAAGAAACAACATGGTGGTGACTTCCTTAAGTTTTCTGTTTCCTCATATATCCCAGCCTGGGAGCTGAAGAAGCTGGCAACCAGGAAACAGCCATGGGTGCAGAATAAAAGGCTCCTCCCACCAAGAAAGTCAAAGGACCAGGAAAGGCAAGCTAGCAAGACAGAATAAGTTTTTGACAAAAAGTACTCTACCCCAGCCAGACACCACAGAAAGAAACTTGCAGCCCCAGCTTCACCCATGCCAGCAATGGTCAAGTGAGACATCTAGATTTCCACCCTTGAAAGGCTGAAATACCCCAACACCTGCCAGAGTGGTATCAGATGAGACCAAGTAGGGAGCCAGGACTTTCACCTCCGCTGGCCAGTCATGAGCTTCCGCATCCTCTGTGGTGGAATGGAAACCATGTGGAGAGCTAGAGAACTGGAACTTCCAACCCCATCCAACACACTTCCAACTCTCTACACTTGAAGGCCAATGAAGAATCTGGAGTTCTATCTCCATCTGGTGGTAACCACATGGTGTCCCCTGATCCTAATGAAGCAATGGTAGAAAAACTCATCTAAAAAGGTTATATAAGATTCAGAGTCTCATAACAAAATGTGAAAATGTCTGGGTTTCAATCCAAAATCACTTGTCACACCAAGAACCAAGACAATATTAAATTAAAGGAAAACCTATCAGCTTCAAGATGACTGCTGTTGGGTGCCATCAAGTTGATTCTGACTACTGGCAACATTGTATGGCAGAGTAGAACTGCCCTCACGGGGTTTCCTAGGCTGTAATCTTTATGGGAGCAGATTGTTAGGTCTTTTCTACTGTGGAGCCACTGGTGGGTTCGAACCACTGATTTTTTTTTTTGATTAGTAGCCAAGTGTTTAACCATTTTGCCACCAGGACTCCTTTCAGGATAACTAGATGTTAGAATTATCTGACAATGATTTTAAAGCAGAGTTCTGGTGGTGTAGTGCCTAAGGCATTTGACTGCTAAACAGAGGCTGGAGGTTCAAACCCACCAGACATGCCTCGGAAGGAAGATTGGGCAATCACCTCTGAATTTTTGTTTTGTTTTGTTAATAAAAGGCAGGGCTAAGGAACTCTGGCAGCATAGTGGGTAAGACATTTGGCTGCTAACCAAAAGGTCAGCAGTTCAAACCTACCAGCTGCCCTATGGGAGGAAGATGAGGCAATCCACTTCTGTAAAGATTTACAGCCTTGGAAACTCCAAAGAGGTCACTATGAGTCAGAATCCACTGGATGGCAGTGGATTTGGTTTTGGGGTGTGTGTGTGTGTGTTGTGTGTTGTGTGTGCGGCGGGGAGTGAAGCAGGGCTGAGTCCTACTCCTGGAAGCCACCTTAGCGGGTGGGCTAAGCCTGAGCCCACCTTTCCTCCAAGTGTTCCCCGTCCCCTCCTCTCCTCGTGGTAAGAGTCCCGCTTCTCTTCTCTCTCTTTCCCCTTTCCTCTCCTTTCTCCCTACTGGTCTCTCCTCCGGGTCCTCTTTTATCTAAGCCTCCCTTCTATCTATCCCTCCTCCCCGCGCCCAATCCGGCGACTGCGGTTCAGGCAGAGGCCTGCAGAGGGCGCCTCTGCGCCGCTCGCCTGGCCGCGCCCCGCCCGCGTCAAGCTTCCTGTGAGGTCAGGTGGGAGGAAGCGGCCTCGGAGGAGCCAGGACTGGACGCCGCCAAGGCCCGGAGCCGAGCCCGTAGGTAGGTGTCGGGGGCTAGGGAAGGGACGTGCGGACGCATCTGTACTCCACTCTGGGCCTGGACTAGGAGCCGGTTTGAGGCGCAGAAGACTGGGGCTTGGCTGCCTGGCAGCGCACCCTCTCCGGAGCCCAGCCGTGGCGGGTCCCCGCGCGGATCCTGGCACCTCCTGCCCCGATAGCACAGGATTTGGGGGAGCAGGGGGTTCCGTCCCTGCCAGTGGTCGGGGTCCCCATCCAGCATTGCCAGGTGCCCGGAGGGGGCAGGCTGCGTCTTTAGCCCACCGAGTGGGTGCGGGATGACGAAGCACAAAGAGACTTTGGAGGACCACGACCCTCCTGGCCTTTTTAGGGGCAGTAAGCTTCAAAAAGGGGACCTCTTTGTCCCAGACCAGGGGCGAGAGATCAGGGTCTATTAACGTCGTTAGGCGAGTGTGCCACGAGTGCTTTCGAGAATTTAGATGAAAACTGGCCGGTATGAGAAAAATAGTCGTGACATAGACTTGGAAGAGGCTGGGAACGCCCACCCTCCGCCCAACATCCTTAATTAAGGGCCTTGGCCTTAGGACAGGTCTGGAAGGCCAGGGGTCTAGGGAGTGGAGCCATTCCAGAAGCCACAGCAGCACTCCCATCCCCTCTCTTGGGAAGGCTGGGCCCTGTCCTCAATTAGAAAGGATGGACTGTGTTGCTTGGGGGGTGAGGGACTGGGTTACCTGAGATATGAGGGCCAGGTGAGGGGGCGTGCCCTGTGCATGGAAGGCCTGCCCCTCATAGCCAGCACCGGTGAGTGAGTGGTCTGCTGCCAGGCGGTGGATCTAAAGCCCCTCTGAAGCGGGGTCTGCATTTCCTGGGGATGCCCCTGTGAGAAGAAGGCCTATGGTCCTTGGCTTTTCCTCCCTCAGGGAAAAGCACACTGTACCCTTTTTTTTTTTTTTAAGCAGAAGAGAACTTGAGATATGGGGCTGAGGATATGGGGCTGAGGATTCTGGTGCCCTGGACTTCCTGTTTGGTACCCGCAGAAGGTCCAGAGCTGGAGTTTCTGGCTTGACATCCTTCCTCTGCTGCCCACAGAGGCATGGTCCTGGGCCAGCTGCTGAAGCCTCTGTGCCTCACTCTCCCGCCTGTACGGTGGCCGGCGAGTACCTGCCTCAGAGGAGTGGCATGAGGCGGAGATGAGAATAGCCTTCATGGACTTCAGCAAAGCCTGGCCGCCAGCAAGGATTCATGTCCCAGTTGTTGTTCGTGGTAGTGGTTATAATAAAACTTACTTCTCCAAGGAACCTTCGGATAGCTTTCCCAGTGGACTCAGTGTAGAGTCCACTGAAAAAGATTTGAAAGCCTTTGGTTCAGTAAAGATTTTTGTCAAGCCAACAATTTGTGTTTACTCATTTCCCAACTTTTTTATTAATCAGACCCGGTACCTGCTCAGTGTGGTAACCCATGTGAGCCCCTGGATTGCAGTTTGTCCCACTCACAGCAGACATCTCTTTATCACTGCTTAATTGCTTCCTTCAGGCATTTTGAGGTCTGGGGAAAAATCATCTGTGAAGCCTCACGATCCTGATCACCCCCACATCACTAAGAGTTAAGGGCCATGGGTGGCGGGGGCATCTGGGCCACTTGGCTTCTGTTAGCCCCTCACCCTGGTCTCTATTGCAGGTGTAGCCCATCAGGAACCCAGAGCTCATTGGAGGATGGTACGGATTTTGGCTAATGGAGAAATTGTGCAGGATGATGACCCCCGTGTGAGGACCACCACCCAGCCACGTAGTAGCACACCTCGCCAGGTAGGGGTCAGCTGCCTACTCCTTTCCTGTCTGCCGGTTACTGCTCAGCTCCACAAGTCTTTCCTGCTGGTATTAACCTTCTCTAGCCTGAAGCCCTCTGCAGGGAGCCAGGCTGGGGAGTATAGAGGGTGAAGACTTGGGGCAAACCCAATGGATTTATTGCCTAGCCCCTGCCTCCCCAGTTCACCCTCCTCCAGGCAGCCTCCCCAGACTTCTAAGCCAAGAACTCTCTCTCCTTTAACCTGATTAGTAAATCCCACTGGCACCACACATTCCTCTGTGAGTCCTCTGGATGAGAAAAGACTAGAGAGTAAGTGGAGAGGAGCCCATGACTGCCACAAAGTTATTTTGAAGGAAGGAGTGATAAGTGTTAAAAATGCTTGTCCAAGGGCTGTGCCTTGTACTCCAACTCGCCTCATCCCCTTCCTCTCTTCTCTCTCCAGGGACCTTCTCCCTGGGCATGACGTGGAGAATACAAGCCAGCATAGCCTGTAGCTCACTTGCTGGGGTTCCTGGGGTGGTGTCAGCGCTTGCTGAGAAAGCAGGAAGTGACCCTGGGTGCTGTAGGGGACTGTCTGCCCATTCCAGTACAAGTTCCCTCCTAGCTGGCACCTTAACTCCAGTACAGCTTTCTCTGCATACATTCATCTCTCTCTGTCTCTAACTTCCAGAGCTTTCTCAACAGGGGCCATGGTGCTCCCCTGGGGGGTCCTGGCCCCCGCCAGCAGCAGGCAGGGGCCAGGCTGGGTGCTGCTCAGTCCCCGTTCAATGACCTCAACCGGCAGCTGGTGAACATGGGCTTCCCCCAGTGGCATCTGGGCAACCACGCCGTGGAACCGGTGACCTCCATCCTGCTCCTCTTCCTGCTCATGATGCTTGGCGTTCGTGGGCTCTTGCTGGTGGGCCTCGTCTACCTGGTGTCCCACTTGAGTCAGCGGTGACCTCCAGGGGGCCAGTGGGATGTGTGTGAGAGCAGGCGCGTGGGGGACCTAGTGGTGCCTTGAAGGTGTGATCAGAGGAGGTGCCATGGGCATGTGTTTTCACCTTGTGCTAAGTGTGAGACGGAGGGAAACTCTGATCTGGCATCCAGGTGATAACTCTGGGCCCCTGGAGATGTTTTTGGGTGGCCTGCATTAAGTGGCACAAAATCAATAAGATAGGGATTCCCTTTCCAATTTTCTTTCAGTCTTTTTATGCCAAGAAGAAAGCCTCAGTTGGTGCCAACATGTTCTGGAACACATGCTGACTCCCCCATTTACTAGGGGGCAGGCCTTGGACTTAGGGCAGGTGGGCAAAGTTTCCAGACTTTTATAACACTGTTTTGTTTTAATTGTATATTTTTATTGGCTATTTTTGATTTGGGAGCTCTGGTAGCATAATGCCTGAGGCACTTGACTGCTAACCAGAGGCTGGCGGTTCAAACCCACCAGCCACTCCTTAGAAGGAAGGTTGAGCAATCTATTTCTGTAGTGATACCGCCTCAGAAACCCAAGGAGGGGTTGCTATCAGTCGGGTCCAACTCGACAGCACGTAACAACAACTTTTTATTTGCGCCAAGTACTGGTACTAGCATTCTGTTTATTGTGATGTTTTCAATAAAGAAATTGAAGCCAAAATGAGTCTCTGTAAAGGAATTGGTAAGTAATAGCATAGCTGGCATGCAGCTCTGGAAGGTGGTGGGGGAGGGATTGGGTTTGGGGAACACACTGTACAGGGTGGTTTCTAAGCTTTCCTCAGTAGAGTTTGGGATCTGGGACGGGGTCCTGGTAAAGCTAGATCTTGGGCCCCATGCCTGATGCTCGGATAACTGCTAGGCTCATTCTGAGATGCTGAACTTGAAGATCAGCCTTGGGAGGAAGGGTCCTCTGGCCGGAATGACCGGGGGAGTCTGTGGGGATGGGACAGCTGGGGGCAGGATCTGAGGTCTTCCTCCCCAGAGGCTTTGCCCAGAGACAGCTCAGCTTCCCAGAGGCCCTCGTCACCTGTAGTCACTGCTCGCTTTCCTCAGAAAGCAGGGCCTCAGTGCTGACTGCTCAGCAGAGCCTGTGAGGTGGTGGAGCTCAAAGCAGGGGGTAGGGGAAGGGGCCCTGCTTTTCACCAATTTTGGCCAGTGATCCCCAGAGCTGTTGGCCCTGCTCAGGGTGGATGGAGGCACCGGGCAGCCAAGGGCTCAGGACCCATGGTGGGCTGCGGGTTACAGGTCAGAGAAAGACTGGCTGACCTCCGGGAACGTGATTTCTCACTGTCTTCTCAGGGTGTTTCTGGGTTTGGTTGGTCGGAGGAGCAAAGCAGGTTTTAGAGGTGCTTTTCAAAGTCCCGGGCTGGGGGCAAACCACTGTGGGATGCTGGGAAGAGGAGGGGAGGGGTTGAGATGATTCCATCCCTCCTGAGACACCCCCCACACACACACTACCACAGACATGACCTTCTGCTGCCCTTGGGGCTAGAGGAGCTTTGTGGCATCCAAGCCAGACAGGCCCCTTTCTCCAAATGTTTTCTGTGTATTTCCTGGCAGTGGATGGATACATGTTGCTTTGTGATGGGCATATAGAGAAGAGGGCACTGGATCTTTCCTGTGTCGCAGATGGGGAAGGGAAGGTCTGGCTCCCAGCAGCTCCTCCTGGGCTTGGGCAAGGGGCAGCTGGTGCCCGCCTTAGGTGGTGCCCCCGGCTGCTTCTGTGGCAGGTCCCTTTGCCCTGGCCTCTGTGGCTGTCGGCTTCCCCAGCTACCAAGCTCCCGCAGCTGTAGCCCGCTCAGTCATGAGGGAAGGGCCTCCTTTCTGTACGGTGTCCTCTCCTCAGCTTGCCTCTCTAGGGCTGGTTTCCCCTTTCTTTTTGCCCTTTCAAAGCCGTGGGACTTTCTGTCTGAAGAAATACATGTTAAGTAGCCAGCTGCGATACAGTCGATTCCTTCTCGCAGCGGCCTGGTGTGTGTCAGAGCAGAGCTCTGCCGCGCAGGCCTTTCATGGCTGGTTATCACTAGGTGTCTCTGGATGATTAAAATCTCCAGCCTTTTGCTTACGTTTGCACATATATTTTTTGCACCACCTTAAATAGACGCCCTATATATAAAGTACTGGGAGCTCTGGTGGCGTAGTGCCTAAGGCATTTGACTGCTAACCAGAAGGCTGGCAGTTCAAACCCACCAGCTGCTCCATGGAAGGAAGGTTGGGCAATCTACTTCCATAGTGATACTGCCTCGGAAACCCAAGGAGGGGTCACTATGAGTCGGATCCCACTCAATGGCAATGAGTTTGGTTTTTATATAAAGTACTTTTAGGGGATGTGAATCCGACTTCACAAATTTTGGGGCTGAGAATTGTATCTTTCTAGAGTTCGTTTTTCCGTTTCCAAAGCCTGAGCCTTTTGCAAAGGAAGGGTAGAGACCATGAGCTTTGGAGAAGGAAGAACAAAAAAGGAGAGAAGCCCGGGTTCATGGCTGGGGGTGTGGAGGGGGAGGAGCCCTGAGGGCAGCTGGACCTAGGCAGCCTCTGCAGAGGCTTGGTTAGCCAGCCCAAAGCAAGTTGTTAGAAGGGTCGTTTCTTGTCTCGTTTGTTGACTGAGCTCCAAGACACACTTCACAGACCCAGCAGAGCTCGCTCTGGTTGAATTGGGGCCCATCCACTTGGCCCTTCTTTAGCCACTCACCTTGCAGTGCCTCTCGGGCTCTGGGCCTCACTTCTAGAAATCTAGGTCTGAAAGGCTGCTGGCCTGCCCGCACAGAGACGGCCTGCCCCACAGGCAGAGCAGCCTGGTGGAGGGGCAGGCACCCGAGAGTTGTGCACTTTGGGGGGCTGCAAGTGGGTGTAGGGCCTCGTTGCTGCCTCTTGTTTGAATGACCTTCTGCAAGGCTCTCATAGGCACTGACTGAGAAGTCACGTGTAGGTGTGTTCCGTGAGGGCTGGGTGCTCTGGGTGGCCGGACCTACAGACCCTAGTGGGTCTCTGAGTGACGCCTGAGGCCTTGAGTCAGAGGCTCATTTAAGGGGGTGGGCCTTCCTCCTGGCACCCTCTTCCCACTCTGCATGACAGGACCCCCCCCCCCCCCGGCTGGGTCACCTTTGCTGGTTGGAATTCCCCCACGAAGGCAGATTCAGGGGTGGTTTCTGCTAATTTCCAGGGCTAATCCTCCAAGCCTGTGCTTCCTTGTCAAATGACATCTGTGGCCTGGCTGCCTGAGAAGGCTGCCCTACCCCCACCCAGGTGAGCCACCCGCCTGGAGCTCATGGGCCCTTATTGCCTCTGTGAGGATGGACCCCACGACGGGGGTGGCATTTTGACTCTCTACCTGGTGCCTGAGATGCTACTGAGTTGACTCAGGTGTGCCCCCACCCTGATCTCCAGGGACCTGCCACCCTCCTGGGCCCTCTGCTCTGTAAGCTCCACCTCTCCCCACCCTCCAGCCAGCCCTAGGGTAGGGGCCACATTTCTATCTCCCCAGACAAGAAACCAAGATCAGGCACCATAGCTGCTCCAGCTTTGCCAGTTCCCCAAGGAGCCTTCTCATGGCTACCTCCTCCCTGGGAGGAAAATCAGGACCAGGACCCGGTTTTGTGGCATGGGCTGGAGGTGGGCTCCTTGACAGGACTGTCCAGCTCTGTGACCCTGAAGGGGGACGTCCTGGGTGGTTGTCAGACTTCTGCATCCTCCCATGTGTGATCTTGAAGGTGAGAGAGGAGAGATCCCCACAACCCCATCAGCATCAAGGGTGCCTGTTTGCAGACCCTGCTCTGCCCTTCACGGACCATGACCTTGGTTAGTCCTGGATCTCTTGACTGTGATCTCTTGATTTCCTCATCTTTAAGCAAGGATAAAGGAGCTCTGGTGGCACAGTGGTTAAAGGATTCAGCTGCTAATCAAAAAGTTGGAGTTTGGGACCCACCAGCTGCTTTGCAGGAGAAAGATGAGGCAGTCTGCTTCTGTAAACAAGGCAGTTCTACTCTGTCCTTTTGGGTTGCTATGAGTCAGAATCGACTCATTGGCAGTGGATTTTTCAAGCAGGAGTGGTGATCTGGGTCCTGCCTATCTTGCAAACCTTGTCAGGCATGGTGAGGAGAGAGTGAGCACAGTGCATGGGAGGAGGCCGAGGAGTCTCCTCTGTGGACATGGAGCCTTGGACCATAGTTCCGGTGCATGGCCCAGAGTGGCTAAACCATCCCAGGCACTGATGACCTGCTGGGTGGGGCAGGGCTGGGCTCCCTGTGCAGCTGAAGAAATGAAGCCGCTTCCCTCTACTCCTTTCAAACGCTTCATTGCAGGGCTCATGTGTCAGAACCAACAATGTTTATTTGAAAGCTTGCTGGGTGCTTGGCACTTTGTTGTTGTTAGGTGCCGTCGAGTCAGAGTCATAGCGACCCTGTGTGCAACAGAACAGAACACTTCCCAGCCCCGTGCCACCCTCACAATCATTGCTATGCTTACGCCCATTGTTGCAGCCACTGTGTGAATACATCTTGTTGAGGGTCTTCCTCTTTCAGTGACCCTCTACCAAGAATGATGTCATTCCCCAGAGACTGGACCCTCCTGACAACACGTCCCAAGTACATGAGACAAAATGTCACCATTCTCGCTTCTAAGGAGCCTTCCAACTGTACTTCCAAGATAGATTTGTTTGTTCTTCCGGCAGTCCATGGTATGTTTAATATTCTTTGCCAACATCATAATTCAAAGGCATCAGTTCTTCTTTGGCACTTTACATCTGTCATTCAGTCATCACTGGTTTGAAACTGGAAGAGTCCTGGTAGTGCAATGGTTAAAACTTTCAACTGCTAACCTAAAGGTTTAGTGGTTCAAACCCACCAGCGGTTCTATGGGAGAGAAAAACAAAAAATAAACCACCGATGAGTAGATTTCGACTCATAGCGACCCCTCTTTGGGTTTCTGAGGCGGTATCACTATGGAAGTAGATTGCCCAACCTTCCTTCTGAGGAATGGCTGGTGAGT